CCCCCCCACCAGGGGGCAGTGCCCCCTCCTCGCTCCTTCCCATCAGGCCCTGGTCTCCTCCTGCAGAGCTGAGACCCCCCACCAGGGGGCAGTGCCCTCTTCCTCGCCCCTTCCCATCAGGCCTTGGGCTCCTCCTGCAGAGCTGAGACCCCCCACCAGGGGGCAGTGCCCCCCCAAAGAGGGCATTGACGCCAACCAGGGCCAACAGGGTCCTCATCCATCTGCCTAGTGTCCCCCTGGACCCCCGAGGCGGGGCCACGCAAGGACACGGTGAGGAGTGGCCCCGGGAGAAGCCCACCCGCCGACGTCTTCACCTTGGGCTTCAGCCTCCAGAGGGAGGGACGGCGAGTCCTGCGGTCACCCATTTTGTGGTGCTCTGTTACAGGGGACCTGGGGACTCACACTCGGGCCCTGACATCTGGCTGGAGGGGACGCTGCCAGCTCCCAGCCTCGGCCTCAGGAGCACATGCCTCTTTGTCCCCTCTCCTGGACCCTCCCACGTGGCCGTGGGAACAGGCCCCAGCTAGCCTTCTGCCCGTGCAGGAGAGAGCGTCCCCATGAGCCGGTCCTCGCAGAGCCGCCTCCAGGGCGCCGATGGCGCTGGCGGGCGGCACCTGCCTAGCGCACCCAGGGCCCCGGGCTCCGTGCCCAGCCCAAAGGAACGTGAGGAAGTGAACCCGGCAGAGCCAGGGTCCAGCCAAACCAGGAGCCGGCGGCGGACACCGGGGTGGACGGGCAGAAGAAGGTCCGCCCAGTGGGTCCCAGCCCGGATGCCACCATATCGTCACGGCCCAACAAACACACGCCTGGTGGCTCTGCGCCCCTCGCCTTGGGGCGGTGATGGCCAGAAGCGAGTGACCCAGGCGGGGGAGGGTGGCCCCTGACCTCAGGGACACTTCTCCTCTTCCCGCCTCCATGCCCCGAGGCCACCGTGGGGCCCCACCTTAGCCAGACGCCCCACCTACCTGAGGAGCTTGGGGACAGAGAACCTGAAGACGTCACTGACGACCAGGCTGAGGGTCCCCAGCAGGAAGGTGGGCCCGAACACCCGGCAGATGGCCCTGAGCAGCGGTCCCCGCGGGCTCCCCTCCTGCTGCAGGAGGGCCTCCTTCTCCGCAGCCTCCTTCTCCGCAGCCTCCGCCTCTGCGGCCTCCACGCCGCCGCGTCCCTTGCTCTTGGACACCTCGGTGCGCATTCGGGGAGAGGAGAGGGTGCGGGGTTCTGTTCCCCACGACAGGGGCGGGCGGGACCTGCTGGCTCCGACCCAGGGGACTCCGTCAGGATGGGCAGCGGCGGGAGCGGGAGGGACGGCAGGCAGCCCGGGGCCTGGGGCCACCGTGGGAGGCACCCGGGAGCTGGCGGGGGGTGGGCACTCCTGCGACCTCCCTGGACCCCTGCAAGCCTGGCGTCCCCTCTTCTGCACAGASGAGGAAMCCGAGGCTCAGAGGGGCCCGGGGASGGGCCCAGGGTGCGAGGCTGGGACCAGAAGGACTGGGACGTCACCCCCTTTTCGTGCAGAGGATGGATCCAGGGGCTCTGCACCCCAGCCCCTGTGTGTTCTGAGACAGGGTCTCGCTAAGCTGCTGAGGCTGGACCTGAACTTGGGGCTCCAAGTGACGGGTGGACCTGGCTGACCAAGAACCGGCCTGCGCCCCGGCCCCAGCCCTCACCTCTGGGCCCCGCGGCGGCTCCTCCTCCATTCGCGCTCCAGCCGGGAGACCAGCTCYTCAGAGCAGTTTTCCTGCTCCAGCRACCAGAAGTCTTTTGGTCCCAGCGGCTTCCTGTAGCCCCTCCAGAGCAGCCTGTCAAGAGGGACACCGAGGTGGGGCACCCCTCAGTTGGTTACGAAGAGGGTCTCACTATTCTCAGGGGAGCCCGTCCGCTCAATGATCATTGGCCCATTTTACAGATGATGACGGACACAGAGGCTCAGGGATGACGAAGTGACTTCACCGAGGGACAGCTGACATCGCTAGGGAAACAGACCCCTCCCCGAGGGTCAGAAGTCCAGGGACTAAAACGCCCAGAGTGGAGGGGATCTGAACTCCTCCCCCAGCTCTAAATACCTCTCCTCCTCCGCTGGCCCAACCAGCAGCCTCAGGGCCTTTGCACACGCCTGACACACGGCTAAAATCCCGTTTCCTGCCACCCCTCCTCTGGCCGTTTCTTACTCATGGTCTGAGCTTACACCTGACTTCTTAGGAAGGTCCGCTGGACTTCCCAGCCCTGGTGGACTCCATTCTAACTGCCTGGGGTCTCCTGAGCCTCATTTAAAAAGAAAGTCATTTGCCATGACGATCGTCATTTGTCCCCTCCTCCAGCGGATGGCAAGTTCCCTGGGCAGGGGCAGTACTGTCCTCCTCCCTGTCTGGTGTTCTCGAGTTCTGGCACGGTTCTGTGACCTTGGGCACGTCCCTAGGTTTCAATTTTCTCACCTTAAAAGTGAGACATTTCCTGTGGCTGGTCTGGGGTGACTGAGGTCGGCACGTGCTACGGGGTCTGCGGAGGGGCCTTGCTTTCTTTGATCTTTCTGATGACCAGGGAGGTCCACCGGTGTCACCTCTGTCTCTAGGACTTGCCAAGTGCCCTTTTCTAAGACACAGTGACCTCGGGCACCCACCGGCCTGGCGGGGACGGGGTTAACCCGGCTTGCCGTGCCCGAGGTTTCCAGAGTTTTCTACAGTCAGGGGATTTGACTGACTTTCCAAGTCTGGACAGTGACCGTAAGATTCCTTTTTAAAAAGTTCATTGAAGTTTAAAAAAAAAAAAGTGAGATTTTAAAAAGGGAGCTCACTAGGGAGGGCGGACGGAGGACACCCCCATGTGGCAAAGAGCAGGAAAAGCCACCCTTAACTGAGTTAAGGAAGCAGCAGCGAGACCCCCGGTGTGTGTGGTGGGGGGCTGCCAAGGGAACTGTGTGCTCTTCCACCAAGTCCACACATCCAGAGGCCCTTTCCTTGTTTGTGTGACGACCTTTTTATGTGACACTCTCTACGCACCAGGCCCCACCTAAGGGCCTCGTCAACTTGGTCCTATCCAACCTTCACAGCCCACGAGGGGGATCTTGTCATTCTTCCTGTTTTGTAGGTATGGGGACTGAGGCACAGAGAGGTAAAGTAGCTTGTCTAGGGCCACACAGCCAGGATCCACGTCCATGTGGTCGGGTGCTACTGAGGTCTGACTGCAGTGCGTTCAGGAGGGGGTCTGGTGGGCGGGCACATCCCCGTGCCAGGTGGGCTGGCACTAGAGGAGCAGCCTGGGCCCCTCGGGCAGCAGAGAGTGGGCCTTTTGCATCTTACTCCTGGTGGTCAGCACAGAGTAGGTGCTTATTAAACGCTGGCGGAACGACTAAAGCTCTGCTCAAGCACGAGGCCCTTTCCATTTACACAGGGAGAGCGGTCCCCAGGTCACAGAGGGCTAAGTGGAGACCCCGGGGATCTGTGACATGGCCCCTAAGAGGCAGAGCCAGGTGCGAGTCCAGATCACACCCCAGAAAGTGAAGTGGGCACAGGTATGTGGGACACTGACCGGAGGCAAGCCCCTGGCGGGAAAGCCGAGCCGGCCCTTGTGAGCTTGGGAGGGGCCCCCGGGGGAGTCAGGCAGCAGCCTGGGTGGGTAGGACCCCCAGCCCCTTCCCGCCACCATGCTTACCCCGAAATCCACCAGAACATGGCTCTGGAGGGGAAGGACGCTCCAGCCTTTGGGCATGGATTCTGCAAAAGATGAAAGATGGGGAACCTCAGCTCACACCCAGGGTGGGAAGGTGACCACGGTCAGGAAGACAGGACGGACCGGCCACGCGCTCCGCACCCAGAATGCACACTGAGGGCACTGCCTCTTTGTCACGTCGAGGAGCGTGGTGCTTCCTAGCAGGCAAGGTGAAAACGGACTGAGCTACACACTGGTAGAGTCCACGCAGTCAGAAATGAGAGCGGCTCAGGAGAACAGCTGTCCACACCGAGACCAAGAAGTTCTCAAAGAAGGACCATGTCCTCAACGATGTCCCTCAGCCAGGCCTGGGAAGAGGGCTCTGTCCACTTCACAGAAGAAACACGAATGGTCAAAAAATACATGGAAAAATGTTCAGCATCTCTAGCAATTAGAGAAATGCAAATCAAAGCTACGCGAAGATTTCACCTCACTCCAGTCAGAAGGGCAGCTTTTGAGAACACAAACAACAATCAGTGTTGGTGAGGATGTGGAGGAAAGGCGCACTCATACGTTGCTGGTGGGACTGCAAATTGGTGCAGCCAATGTGGAAAGCAGAGTGGAGATTCCTTGGAAAACTTGGAATGGAACCACCACTTGACCCAGCTATCCCTCTCCTCAGGCTATACCCAAAGGACTTAAAATCAGCACACTACAGGGACGCAGCCACCTCAATGTTTATAGCAGCTCAATTCACAATAGTCAAACTAGGAACCAACCTAGAGGCCCTTCAACAGATGAATGGATAAAGAAAATGGGGTACATACACACAATGGAATATTGCTTAGCAGTGAAGAAGAGTGAAATCATGGCTTTGCTGGTAAATGGATGGAACTGGAGACTATCGTGCTAAGTGAAATAAGCCGATCCCCCCCAAAACCAAAGGCCAAATGTTTTCTCGGATACGCAGATGCTAATTCACACTAAGGGGGGGGCAGAGCTAGGAGAGAATAGAGGGACTTTGCACTAGGCAGAGGGGAGTGAAGGGAGGGSAGGGGTATGGGGTGGAAAGGATAATATGTGCATGTGACGGGTGTGATGCTACACCATGTYCAAGCAGAAGAGTGAGAAGTCATGTTCCACCTGTGTGTGACAGGGCGGGTGCCTCCTACTGTCACGGAGAGCTCATTGGAACAAAGTTTTTACAAAGAGGGCTCTGCCCTGTGATCTTTGTCAGCCGACCCACAAAGTCGCACAGTCTACCCTCGTCACCAACAAGGCACCAGGCGCCCATGTCACTCCATGGTGGCCATCCCAACCTGTTATCAATTGTTAGTTTTTTCTTGGTTTCCATCCTGACAGGCACAGAAAGGTCCGACGGCCGTTCTGAGCAGCTCACCCGCGTGAGCAGGTCTAGAGCTGGCCGCAGTCCTGCTCCTCCTCAGAAAATTCTCCCCTGACTCCCCAGGTGACTGCTTCAGTGGCACCTGTTGGGGACTCAGGGGCCTGAAAGTCTCCTGCCGAGCACCTCCCCAGGTGTCACCTCCCCAGGTGTCACCTCCCTCACGTCTGCGCAGTCATGTGACCGCTAACTGCCCCGGGGCGGGGACCCTGTCTGCTGCCGGCTGGAGCCCAGGGCCGGGGACAGCGCTGTGGCCTCCAGACCAAACCCAGCCCACCGCCTGCTTCTGCGAGCCATGCTCTTGGCCGCCRGCCGCGCCCCGCGCCCCTCCTGTGCTGGCTTCTGCTCCACCGCGGCAGACCGCTCCCAGAGCCTCAGATGTCTCCAGAGGGAGCTGGCCACAGGGCCACCGCGAGGAGCTGAGCCACTCCCGTGTTGCCAGCGAGTGAAAGACACACACCTAAGCTCTAGTTCCAYGCCCTCCCTCAGGTCCCCCGCGGAGGCTGGGACCCAAAGCGGTGCAGGCAGGAAGGAGGCCCGGAGTCGGGGACCAGTTGGGGACTCACCGGCTGCTGGGCRTCTTCAGGGAAGAAGGGGGGCCAGTCCACCAGGCAGGACAGCACAAACTGTGCCACCACCAGGGACAAGCACAGGTAGGTGGACAGGTGGCCCAGGGGGTCGCTCTGGAAGCCCTGCAGGAGAGAGAGAGAGCACAAGTCCCCCTGAGTCTGGGGACGGAGGACAGTGCCTGAGCCCCCYGGGGTGGAGGCAGAGAGGGGCTCCCAAGAGCGGGGAGGCCGGGGCTGAACAGGGTTCCAGGCCAGGAGCAGCGTCCGGGCAGGGGACAGGGCCAGGGTGCCCCCGAGCCAGGCCCCTGCATTCCCKGTTGTCCCCGTCTGTAAATCCTGATGTGCACAAATTCTGTCTGAACAAACGCGGGGCCAGGGCTGTGTCTGGGCTTTGCCCTTAGCTGGTGACAGCGGACACAGAGCTGGGACAAGGAGAAGAAGGGACACTGGGGCCTTTTCCTTTCTCTATTCCAGCTCCCCCACCACACCCAGCCTCCCGGCCGGCTCCCCCTGGGCCTGTGTTCTCTGGTTGATGAACAGGGAATGGGTTTAACTGAGCATGTACTCTGTCCCCGGCACACGACGTTCTTCCTAAGCACAGTCTCATCAGGTCCGCCCACMGACCCCAGCTGGGTTTACGGCCTCCGTTTTACTCCCGGTGAAACAGCAGCTGAGCTCAAGGGCACACAGACGGTGCCAAATTGTGAGCTGCTCTGCTGAGCCACTGCAGGGCTGGACAAGAGACCAATAAGTACAGCCCCCTGGCTATGGCGATGAGGGTGGGAAGGCACACAGGGCTCAGGTGGGGACAGTGACAGCTAGACCCACCGGGGGAGTCACCAGGCTTGTATTCTAACAGGCAGACAGGGTCTCGCTGAGTTGCTCAGMGCCTCGCAGTGGCTGAGGCTGGCTTTGAACTCAAGATCCTCCTGCCTCAGCCTCCTGAGCCGCTGGGATGACGGCGTGCGCCCTGTGCCTGGCTCTCCTGAGATCTTTCTTCTGGCTTTGGTTTTACGTTTTTGCAGACGGTAGACAGTTGTSCTCTGGTTTCACGTGGCCTCCCTTCCCATGCCGCTGTGTGGTTTTTTTCTTTTAACCACTGTCCCTATTACACAGCTGGGACAGTGGCAAGACCTGACCTTGGGAGAGGTTCACAGTTGGCCCCTGCCCTCCTGACCACTTGGCCTGGGGGAGGACATTACCTCCTCGGAGCCTCAGTTTCCTGTCTTTGAAGTGGGACTTCGGGACCCTAGACGGAGCGTTCTGGGGAGACTCCAGTGAGGGGGGACATAAGTGCTCCCTGGTGCCTGTCCGTGGCCACRGCTCCGGCGTGCAGAGGGCTCCAGGGTCTCTGTTTCTGTCCTGAGTTCCGGAAGCTGACTGTGGGCCCCACCCTCCATGATTTGGTGGTGCCGGTGGGGTTTCCTCATTAGGTAAAAACGCTGCTCTTTAAAGATCTGTCCTAGGGTCAGAGATGTCCCTCCACTTTCTCTTCCTAGGAGAAGGATAGAGTGACCACGTGGCTCAAGAAGCGATGGCCAGCCACCTGCTTCCACCTGGTCCTTGGCACCCAGGCCACGGCCTCGGCAGAACGCTCTCCAGAGGCGAGTGACTCGTCATGGGTGGGCGGGATTCCCCCTCAGGGGACCTGGCAGGATCTGGGGGCACTCTGGGTCACCACAGTGGAGGGCGGTTGCTGCTGCTAGTGGGTAGAGGCCAGGGATGCCCATCCACATCCCAGGACATAGTACTGGGACCATCCTCCATCCCCCGCCCACAGAGAAGGGTCCAGCCCGAAGGTCAGCGGAGCCGGGCTGTGGAGCCCGATCCAGGCTGTGTCTCTCTTTGCAGAGAAATYGCCCCATCAGCTCCTAATCCAGAAGCCCCGCTTCCCAGACTGGACAGCTGAGTGCATGTGCAGAAAGTGAGTGTTGGCACAGGTGCACAGGGACRCCGGGAGGCCGAGTGTGTCAGGAGGAGGGGGCACGTGCGTCACCTAGGGGAGAGCATGCGTGTGCGTCCAGGCCGGGCAGTACACGTGTGAGCTCCTGTGTCCTGGTGGGAGGCGGGCCTGGGGCACGCAGGTGTGTGTGTGCCAGCAAGAGTGTGACGTATGTGAGACCAGGAGATCTGTGCCATTAAGAAAAAGCACAAGTGACAACGTGCAGGGACCTAGAGATTATTGCATGAAGTGAAAGGAGCCGGGCTCCAGAGGTCAGGGCCGGGTGGCCTCACCCACAGGTAGAAGAGGAAGAAGTGGCTTTTACAGACCGGGGTCCAGCGGGGTGGCCAGAGGCTGGGGGGGGGGGAGATTCCTCAGCAGGTACAAATACGGCCGAAGAATGGGCCTGGCGTTCTGTTGCAGGGGCCGGGATTGTAATYAACAATGTTGAATATTTCAAAAGAGCCAGGAGAGGAGTCTGAATGTACCCCCCCAAAGAGACGGCCCCTGGAGGAGGCCATGCATGTGTTAAGCACCCTAACTATGGGTTCTGACGCGATGTACGATGCACCCAAATACCCCGCTGCACCCCGCAAGTGTGTACGATTAGCATGTGCCAGTTAAAAGTCAGAACATGGACRGAGGGTGGCTACTTAGAAGTGAGGGTACATTTGTGTGTCTCTAGTGTTTAARTGACTGGGGCGTGTGTGCCTGTGTCTCTCTGTGTTGAGATTAAGCCAAGTGTGGAAAGGGCAGGGGAAGGATGAGACCCAAGGCCGCCATATGGGTTTCCCCAGCTGGCCCAGGTCCCCACTTACCCCTCTGGAGGCCTGCTGGGTGGTGCTCGTAGCTGGCAAGACGCAGCAAAGCAGCCAGTACCCAAACAGCAGCCCGGAAGCCCGGACCCCCTTCTTCCTCTCCATGTGAATCAGGAACACGGCGAAGCCCTGGGTGGCAAAGTCCAGCTGGGCCCTTGTGGGGGTGGGGGTGGGGTGGGGTGGGAGGGGAGGCGCCTCTCTCCCCCACGCTCCCCACCAGGAGCCAGCCAGGTTCCAGCAGAAGAGGTCATTACCATGGTGGTGAGCCACACTGTAGGGTGAATCAGGAATTCTGGGGCCTGGGGCGTTCCCTGTTGGATTTTCCAAAGAGGGAGGGCCACGTTGAAGACACACAGGAGCATGAGGGYGAAGCCGAGCACCTGGGGAGACAGGTGTAAGTAAGGCTGGGGGTGAAATAGGGGTGGCAGGAGACGTGGGGTGAYCCCATGTCGTGTTGGACGGTGGTTCTGCAACGTCCCAGATAAGACCCTGTCATAAACCAAGGTCACACGTTACCAGTCTGCTGATGTGTAGGATGCGTGGGGGGAGGGCACTGCAGACCAGCCCTCGAGTGAGTAACACACAACAGGACTTGGGCCAAACCCACGTCCCCCAAATGCAGAAGGAGTTCCAACCATGCACTTTGGGTGTGGAGATACCAAGTGACATGAAAATTATTTGCAGGGTGAATTGCCCTTTGCAATCTCTGCTACCAAGTCCATGGGAAACTCTTCAATGGGCCGGGATGTTTCCAGAATATCTGCCTAAGAAAGCGAGAGAGTTGTCACGTGCACACAGCCGAGGAGCTACCCAAACCACCCCGCCAGGCTCCTGCAGGGCTTACGGGCTACCTACCATCTGCAGCTGAGTGGGGCCGGCTGTCCATTTATGAAGCCTGGGAGCTAAGAATTCATTTATTTTTTTTTTACATTTTTCAATCATTGATTACAAAAAAAAATGCAAAAGCAGCGTAATATGTCATGACTCGAACATGAGATGAGATTCCCATTTCAGGGAATTTAAATAAAGTTTTATCGAAACACGMTCATGCCTCTTTCCCCTCTGCTGCGGATGGCTGTTCTGTGCTGCCCACGGGATGACACAGCACGGCCCAAAAAACCTCTCCGAGGCAACAGTGGACCTTTCAGTTTGCGAGGCCCGGATAGAGGGTGGGCCATACAGCYGGAATTAATGATCTGGCCGTGAATGAACTTGAAAGGCCATTCCTGTAGCAGTGGATGGAAGGTGAATGAAGGCCGAGGCCCACACTTGGAATAGCAGCATTCATCTAACACACTATGGTAAACACGTCACAATTTTTAAAGACTGTTCAGCAGGACGGTCAGTGGGGAAGCAAAGAGGAAAGTTAACTGGGCTGGGTKTGGCTCAGGCACAGAGCTGTGTGCTTAGCAAGCCTGGGTCCCTGGGTTCCGTCCCCAGCACCCAAGAATCAAATCAAATCGAATCAACTGTTAAAGTTTTAAAAAGGTAAAAATCACCGGGCACACCCCAAGTACACATGGCACCAGGAGATGCCAGGCTCAGGTACCTCTGCACTGTGGGGACACGCGTGTGTCTGTGCGCGCACGGGGTTTTCCAATTACAAAATCTGTCTGGGGGGACTTTGACCCACCAAGTGTTCCTCTGTTGCCTTTCGTCACTACCCCGTGTGCTCCCTGGTAGGTGTATTCACTTTGGGGTCCCTGCCAGGTTCCCGGCCCTCCCCTCCATCGTCTGGTTTAGGGCTCCCAGTGGTGGAGGCTACCATTTTCACTTTGAAGAGCGGGGACATCCGGAGGTAGCCCCTGCCATGGCGGTGGATGTGGAGGAGGTAGATGGGGCCGAGGACCCAGAGGTACATGGGGGGCAGCCAGACCCCCGCTGTTCTCAGGAAGCACGGGCTCAGGGGGCTGTGGGCCGCAGGCTCCGGCTCTGTCTGGTTCCAGACCTGAAGAACACCRGGCGGACCCTCAGGATGGTACAACCCGGGGACCCCGTCTCACCTGCCTGCAGGTCCAGCATTTTGGGCCCCTAACATTGACATTAAGGTGTTCCACGCCCTCTTTGGGATGCTCCTCACTTCTCAACTCTTCCCGTCCTCACACCAGCCCTGTGGGTAGCTGTGATCACCATAGTGATTGGGCAGAGGAGGACGCTGAGGCCCAGAGAGGTTGAGTCACRTGGCTGACCATACCCACTGGGAAGTTGGTGGTGCTGGAATCTGAAGCCAGGGAATTGTGTCCTGGAGTCAAGGACAAGTGCGCTCCATAATGAGTGCTAGGCACAGGTGCCACCTCTTCTAAGATCTCCAGATGGTAGATGCTACTGTCCCCATCTCACAGAGGAGTAGAGGAGGAGGCACCCAGAGGGGAGCCCTCTCCTTCAGGCCCACACAGGTAGGAAGTGCAGGGCTGACCTCCACTCAGGTGCCTGCCCTGGAAGCTTGAGTTTAGCTCCATCTTTCTGCTGGCCCTTTCTAACTGGAGAATTTGGAATATAGACATGATCCCTTCAGGGCCACTCACCCCCCCTCACTTATGTCTACTCTGACTGCCCTGAACCCAGCCTCTCTGGGCCTCAGTTTGCTTCCCTGTAGAAGCCGGGAAATGGAATCTCCTAACGATGGGTCAACAGCAGCGAAGCTCGGATGGCGATGAGGGCACGGGGCAGGCGCTCAGTTAACTTTGGGTCTCTTAATTGCTCGTCTACCAAGCCCTTGAGAGCCTAGGGCTGGCGACCCTGCCCTTCCCAAGAACTCCACTCTGGAGAGAGCTCAGGGCCGTGTCAGAGGGGCCCAGGGAGGCAGGGGGTCCTGCAGATGGTAGGGGCTCTCCGCGGTGGGAAGGGCTTGGGGAGGGTCCCCTAGCTTCATGCAAGTAAAGCTCACAGCCCCCAGTCGCTGGGAGATCTGGAGGCCCCTTAGTCCGCTGTCACCTGGATTGTAACTGGAGAGCAGGTCTCTTCGCTTCCTGGGGCCAAGAATTTGGAGGGAGTGGGGGGCAGGGGGAGTATTTCCCTTCCTAGTCTCGCAGCCCCAGAAAGATCTGAGGCCAAACCCAGCCCGGGAAAGGAGAGCGGGGCTGGGTGCGCACTCACCCCCAGCCCTGCGCACGTCTCGCCAGGCGCGGCCATCGGGCGCCCTCCGTCTGTCCGTCTGTGGGTCCGAGCGTGGGTCTGCCTGTCTGTCTGTCCCTGGGCAGCCTCCTCCGCTGCGCTCCGGCAGGCCAGGGCGGGGCCAGGCGGGATCGGAGGCCAAGGGCAAGGTCCATCCGAGCCGCCAGGCTGGGACGACCAGGGTGAAAGGAGGCGGTGGGGACGCGCAGGGAGGCCCGGGGATTCCACTGGGGGAGGGCATCCTGAGATCCCTGAAAAGTGCAGGGGCACCCCCATGCTCGTTGCCCGCCCTCTGCCACAAGTATTGTCCCAAACGCTTTGGAACCAGGAATTCCGGGTGTTTATCCCGATGAAAGAACCAACGGTGCGCACGGGTTTGTAGCAGAAGTCTTGGCAGCGGCCAGGGACCAACAACCCGGATGGACATCGTCTACATGCAGGGCGCTGGGAAGAGTTTAAGAAGATTCTCAATAAAGAGTTTAGCACAAGCTGGGCAGGTGGCCGCAGGACTGGAACCTCAGCCATTATGGAGGCTGAGGCAGGAGGCTTGAGAGTTCCAGGTCAGCCTTGGCACCGCCCGGGCACACAGTACGTGCTAAATAAGCTAGGGATTACCTTAGCCTGGTATTATCACTTAGTGCACGGGTTAATGACCAATGAGTTGTTCATTCTATTTGATTTTTTTTTT